ACAACTTAGAATGACAAACAAGCTGACGGCTCACCTGATGGAAAGTGGTCACCGTCGCCTATAGACATGAGTAATACCATGGACATAACAGAGTATACTGTTTCGCCCATGATACCCCCCATGCGTTGCCATTCCTGAGGACTCAGGTGTTATTCCTCCGTACCCTGTAAATTCACGCCATTTCATCCACATCATTTCGAAGTAAGTACCTACGTACCTATCGAAACATTGTTATTTGCGTCAGCCTCATAGGTACTATCATAAGAGACGACTGTCCTGTTTGTTTCTTAAACATTTCTGATTATATATGTACAGATACAATACACTTACAGACAAACAAACAAATGTAAATATGCCAATAGTCAAATCTTGGGGGGAAAGGGATTGTTAGTAATGGAGACTGAGAATCTCATTGCTAGCAATATACCCAACCAGGTCGACCTCCTCGCGTTCCCCCTGGAAACTATCATGGTTAATTCCTGATGAATTCATCATGATGGGCTAACTGGCCTGTTTTCATTCTCATCTATCACCCCTCACTGGTGCTCCGTCAGCGTATCCCGTTAGCGCAGGCGGCGTTACTATACGATTTTCACCCAGTAAAAAAAAAATAGTCAAATCTGTTTCAAAGACAAAGCAGATACAACACAGGGGGCAAACGAGCATGCGGCTCACCTGATGGTAAGTGACTACCGCCGCCCATGATCACCCACAACACCAGCGGCATTGCAGGTGTGCTGCCGGCCTTTTAAAAAGGAATGTACTCTTTTCTTGAAGGTTATGTTGTCGTATCGGTTCGGAAATACTGCTGCTGGAAGTTGATTCCAAAGAATGGTTGTGCGTGGAAGAAAGTGCCTTGAAAAACGCACGGTGGAAGACCGCCACTCGTCCAGATGATTGGGATGAAACTTTAGTTTGTGGCGGGTTGTACGGTGGTGAAAATCAGCAGCAGGTATCAATCCGAACAATTCCTCAGAACACTCCCCATGATAAATTCGGTAGAAGATGCACAGAGATGCAACATCTCTGCGCAGCTTCAGTGGATCAAGTCGGACAGTAAGGCGTTGACTATCGATAATTCGAGCCGCCCGACTTTGAATGCGGTCTAACGGAAGGAGTTGGTACTGTGGCGCTCCTGCCCACAGGTGAGAACAGTATTCCATATGCGGCCTGACTTGGGCTTTATATAATTTCAGGCGGTGTTCTGGCATGAAATATCGTCTCACCCTATTGAGCACTCCTAACTTCTTGGAAGCTATCTTAGCCTTCTCCTCCAGATGACCGCAAAACTGGACGTCGCAAGATATATCAACGCCCAGAATTCCTAGACTCGACTTTTTATCAAGGGAAGTGCCCTGAAAGTGAGGAGATACGACAAACGGCGTCTTTTTTGCGGTAAACGCGCAGACTTGTGTCTTTTTGGGGTTAAATTGGACAAGATTTTGTTCACCCCAGATCGAAACTTGATGGAGTGAAGTTTCGAAAAAGTCTATTCCGGCACTCATCGGTATGTGCCCGCGAGATCCTTGCATGACCGGTATATAATGTATCTCCTGTACTGTCGTCTGCATAGCAATGAATATTACTTATCTGTAACATATCATTGATATGCAGAAGAAACAGAGTCGGAGATAGTACACAGCCTTGCGGGACACCAGCATTCAAAGGTTTTAAATCAGAGCATGCTCCGTCGACTACGACCTTAATGCTACGTTCCTTGAGAAAACTGGCGACCCAAATGCACAGTCTCGCAGGCAACCCAAATGAAGGTAGCTTTGAAAGCAGCGCTCTATGCCACACCCGATCAAAGGCCTTCGCGATATCCAGACTAACTGCTAAGGCCTCTCCCTTACTCTCGATAGCCACTGCCCATCGGTGTGTTAAGTAAGCTAAAAGATCACCGGCCGAACGTCCCTGTCGAAAGCCGTACTGGCGATCACAGATCAGCTGGTGTTCTTCTAGGTACCGGAGCAGTTGACGGTTAATGATGGATTCCATAACCTTCGAGAATAAGGAAGTGATAGCTATGGGCCTATAGTTAGCTGGATCTGAGCGATCTCCCTTTTTAGGGATCGGATGCACCAGAGCAGTTTTCCAAAACTTTGGGACTATGCCCGATGAGTAGCTAAGCCGAAAAAGACGCGTAAGAATCGGAGCCAACTCTGGTGCGCACGTCCTAAGCACAATTGGAGGAATACCATCGGGCCCACTCGACTTATGGATTTCGAGGGAGAAAAGTGCTCTACGCACTGAGCTATGCGTGAATTTAATGTCAGGCATAGAGCTCCTACAACACGTGATGGTCGGTGGTGATTTCTCCCCGTCATCCAATGTCGAGTTTAACGCAAAGATGGATCCAAGAAGATCGGCCTTTTCCTTAGCGTTCTGGGCCAACGAGTCATCCTCCCTGCGCAATGGTGGAAAAGATGACTTACAGAAATTCCCTTGTGCAGCTTTGGCAAGAGACCAGAAAGCTCGAGTTCCAGAGGGCAAACTAGCCAATCTCTTGCCAATTCTACTAATATGCTCTGACTTCGCTGTAGCTATAACTCTTTTGAAACACCTAGAGGCAGAGTTATACTTCTTTTAAGAGCACTGGTGTTAGGATCTCGCGACGCCACACCTTTAGCCCAGGTTAGGAAGCACTCCTGTTTCAGACGAGATGCTGTTCTACAAGAGGCTCCATACCAGGGCTGGGATTTCCCGCCGACGGGCACCACAGAGTTAGGAATAAATAATTCCATTCCCTGAAGCACCACATCAGCAATGGAATTGGCAATGGCGTCGGGATCATCCAGTGTGAAGCAAACCTGCCTCCATGGGTAAGATGCGAAAAAATCCGCATCTCATCCCAGTCTGCTGACCTGTAGTGCCAAACACGACGTCTACCCGTGGAACGTGGTGGAATCGGACTCATGAGAGGCACCTCGCTCCGCACCAGACTGTGATCCGACGATCCAAGCGGAGCTTCGACGGAAATCACATAGTTGTCTGGGTGGGTGGTCAGCAGAAGGTCCAACAGTGAAGGTGAATGGTCCAACACATCAGGTATTCGCGTAGGCGAGGAAACAAGCTGCGTCAGACCATAAGCCAAAGCAAAGTCATGAACAGATCTTCCCGCATAGTCGGTTGTACGTGAACCAAGCCATTCGGTATGGTGGGCATTAAAATCGCCAAGAATCACGACTTCAGCGGAAGGAATCTGTTCGAGTAGGGAATCTGTAGCCATTTGGACGTGCTCAATGAGTTGGTCGGTTTCGATGTTACCGCTGTGGGACCTGTATAGGCATGCATAGACGCGAGGATGGTCATTGCAGTCTACGCGTAGCCATAAAATGGACAGGTCCGTACCTTCAAGAGTTCAAATGCGGCGACAGCAGATATCCTCTCTGACATACGCGCATACACCGGCACGCGAAACAAAACAATGTTCAAGTTTATAGCCCGGGTACGTCAGGTATGAAGTTTCGTTTGGAGAGGATATCTGTGTCTCCGTTAGAAAGAGCAATGCCGGCCGCGCCGTTTCTAGGTGGTGGTGGACAGCGTTTAGGTTAGAATGTAATCCCCTAATATTGCAGAAGCTCACATTGAGCGAAGGGGATGCCGTAGAAATCTTGCTCCGTTTGCCCTTGGTTCCAAAGAGCGGAATTTTGCCCCCCCCAGAATACGCAGGGCAGCCCGAGCGTGGTTGCTCGAGAGAGGATTCTCCAGCAACATGGTTACTGGTACCTCCCTGGGGTATGTTATTTTTTTTTTAATTCCACTGCCATGGTTGCGTGTTGTAGGATAGGGGGACGGGGTTGGGGAAAGGATTTTAGGATTAGGAAAGGGATGGGTATGGGATGGGTATGGGATGGGCCTCCGGACTCCCTCACTCACCATACGGAATGTGATCGCACTGAAAGTGCAACCACTTAGCGTCGGTATTCTGTGAGGGTGTGGTACTTCCCCGGTCGAGCCGGCCCATTCATGCTGCAATACCATATGGTATTACAGCGTGGCTCTACCACCTGAATGAATGAAAAAGATTTTTATTGGCTTACTACTCAAATATTTTAACCAACGTACTACGTCTACTAGCTGACCTACCCGACTTCATCAGCAATAAAAGCTTTCAAAAATATTATTTTTTCCCATTTTTACAACATTTTTTATTGCTGCTCCTCTCCTATTGGTCGTAGCGTAATCTTATATCGCCTATAGCATTCCTTAATAAATGCGTTACTCAACATTAAAAGAATTTTTCGAATCGAATTAGTATTTCCTGAAAAGAGCGCGTTCGACCAAACAAACTCTTTAACCCTTCTTTGCATACTGGTGGAAATTTCCATCGTAACATTGAATGCCCAAAAATTATATAAAAGAACAAGTTCACTCTAATGTGATCGTGTCTGGATACCTTTTTAATGTCCATTGCAGAAAAAAAAAACATAGCTGTCAAATTTATTTTTTTAACCATTTTTCCTTTAATTTTAATCATGAATTATATCACCTTGATTTACTTCACCGATAAAAAAATCATGCAAAGAAGGGTTTTTTTTGATGGGTGAAAATGGAATGGTAACCCCGCCTGCGCTAACGGGATACGCTGGCGGAGCACCAGTGAAGGGAGATAGATGAGAATGAAAACAGGCCAGTTAGCCCATCATGATGAATTCATCAGGAATTAACCATGATAGTTTCCAGGGGGAACCGCGAGGAGGTCGACCTGGTTGGGTATATTGCTAGCAATGAGATTCTCAGTCTCCATCACTAACAATCCCTTTCCCCCCTGCAAAGAAGGGTTAACTTTATATTACAGTGAACGCTCCATATAAGCAACCTCTCTATAAGTTACATTCTTTATATTTTATTTTTTCCACTCAGCTTAGTTAGTAAAAGAAATAAGTGAAAATATTTTCCACACGGTAAGTATTTTTATACTCCTTTTTCCTCTATAAGCAATTTTTCCTAAAAACAATTTTTTTCCATTGTTTCAAACGAGTCGCTTATACACTGTAATTAGAGATGGGCAATCCACCTGGGTGGGTTTAAAGTCTGGTGGGTAAAAACCGGGTGTTTTGGGTTTATTGGGTTTAAACCCCATAAACACCCAAATTTTTGGGTGTTTATGATTTTGTACTTCATCATCGTCATCTCAGCCGCAAGACGTCCACTATACTGGACATAGACAATATTATTATGCAGCCTACAGAATAAAAAACTTTTAATTTGATTTTGAGTTTATTAAGAAAGAGATGAAAGTAAAATGTAAAACTACAGTCAATCACTGTCAGATTCAGAGTTATTACAAGCGATGAATTGTATAGGTTCGATAGGCTCTATTTCGTCTAAACTGTTATGTTCATTTACTTGCTCAATGAAAGCTTCTAAGGTATTTTCTTCATTAAACTGAATGTCCTCGCATTCAGCTTTATGTTTAAGATTCCAGTTATAACAAATGAATGAAATTTTTTCAGTTCTTTCAGTTGTAAGTCGATTTCTTTTGTTATTATGTATGTAGCCTTGGATACTAAAGGAACGCTCAGTGGCTGCCGAAGTACAGGGAGCTGATAGAATACGAATCGCTACTTTGCTTAACTCAGTGGAACCACAAATACCTTTCCACCATATTAGGGGCTCAATGCTATCTAATGAGCTCCATACAAATCCTCTGGCCCAAAAGTTTTCTTTAGCTTTATAACACGCCAAATCTGCCATTACATTTGACAAACTTAAGTGTTGGCTTAAATTGTAGATAAACTCCATACCCTTAAGTTCTTCCTCTTGAGTAAGTTCGACTCCTAGAGTCCTGGGGTCTAGAATATATGCTGCAAAATGTATTGGCCTCATTGCCATATTGCATCTTGAAGATACTGATGTTAGAATCTGCTGTTTGCTTTCTTCGCTCAATGTCGAAATCTCATTTAATGCAAAACGTATCTTAGCTTGTACATCTCTAAATGTAATGTATGTGCGATGCAAACGATTCTGGTCGCTCTCTAAGTAAAATATGCTTTCAGTGACTGGTTCCAAAATACTTATACATTCCCCTGTCTTCGTCCAGAAATCATCACTTAGAATTAAATCTTTAATATCTCTTGAAATTACCACATCTTCTCTAACTGTTAATATTTGCAAAGCTATCTTATTTGCTTTCAAACTTTTTAACGAAGTAACATGACTTCCCCATCTTGTAGCACAAGGCAATTTTAGTGTTTGTGTAGAATCTTCACCCTGCCTTGATTTTATCAACAAGGAACTTAATCGTTGACTCCTTTTAACAGTTTTTATTATATTTATGGCTTGCATAATAAACACAGTTACTTCTTGTATCTTTACAATATCTTGGCACAACAAGTTAAGGATATGTGCACAGCAACCGAGAGGAACAACATGTGGATATTTGAGTTTTGTTAATTCGAATGCCTTTTGTATATTTCTAGCGTTATCGCCAATAAGTACAAGAAACTTATTTGCTCCATACACTTTCATTACTTTTTCAACTTCTTGGCTAAGGTATTCACTAGTGTGAGGATTACTTTCTGTATTCAAACTTTTAACGTATGCAGGTTGAGGTTTTGATATAAGAAAGTTTATTATTCCTTCATTTCTTAAATTAGACCAGCCATCGCACTGAAGGTGTAAGTAACTACAAGCATTTAGTTCCTCATTTAACTCAAAACGCATTTCTCTATATATTTTATCTAAGTATTTTGTCGCTAAAGCTTTACGTGAAGGTATTTTAAATTTTGGTTGCAATTTTTCGAAAAATTGTATCCATAAAGGATGTTGCACCATCGATAATGGCGTCCCTGTTACAAATATAGCTCTCGCTAATTCTGTTTTTATATGATCATCGGTGTCTTGAAACTCAGCATTTATTGTAGTGTTAGCAGACGACGAGGGGCTTATAAAAGAATCATTTGTCTCTATCTCTGACAGTCCAGACATTTTGGTTTTGGACGAGCTATCTTTTATAAGTTTCATAGAGTCTTTTAATGTTTCTGGAGATTTTGGACAAGTGATAAGATGTTGAAGCATTTTGGCAGCATTACTGAATTTGTAGACCTTATTACAAAGCTTGCAAGAAACAGACTTGTTTGGTAAAGTACGGTAGTGCTCCCATATGCGTAAATCTTTAGGTCTCCCCATTGAACCTAAAAAAATGAACGATGATTAGTTGGTCTGACGAAAATTCAACAATAGAGTGCCTATTTTTTTACAATGATTATTTCTTGTTATTTACAATAAATTTATTAAAAAAATAATAAAATAAATACAAAAAACCTTTGTAAAATTACATCTCCTCGGAGGATTAAACGCAGACGCTAGTTTATTATCGTATTGTTCTGTATTTTTCTCAGCAACTTCTTTAATTCGATTAGGTACTTACGCATATTATGTTAAAAATAAATATCTAGTACACATCTTAGGCTATCCACCATTATTATCCAATGACGACTCTCAGCTAACTATGCACTATCATCCAAAATAAACGTGTATGGAAAATTTTATCCCAGTCGGTTGAGGATTGAGGATAATTGCATCAACATACGAACATACCTACATACTTTTATTTACATAACGCAAGCTAAATAAAAGCTTGTAATAATACATCTAATTTTAAGTTAAAATTGTTAAGTGATCATGATATAATTGTATCATTCAAAAATCCACTTACCTTTAATTATTTCTTGTTAAGTATAAATATTATTTCAAATCTGCTCCCTTAATATGCACTTTTTTACTGCTTTTCCTACCTAACACGTTACCAGGAAGTCACGTTACCAGAGTCAGAGTAATAGTGAACACGTTTGACAGTGATTGTCGTCGCCTCATATTCAGCGTCGACGAATAGGGGAATCCCCAGTCATAATGTATTGCATGCGTGGCGGTCTTACTTCAAATCCATAAACAAAGAGATAATTACAGAACTCGATACTAGATGGCGCTGTTTTTGTTTGAAGAAAGTTTGCGGGCTAAAATACATAGAATTTCATCAATGACTTCCACAAAGAACAACATTTCTGTTTTTTCTAAGTCCGTATCTCTTCCGTATATTTCATAAGATATAAGCTTGGGCTACATTGTTATGCAACGTGATTTTGTCGCTGTCTTGCTAGCAGGGTTGACAGATATACGATTTAAATCGTACTCATACTATTATTTGTCTATTTTTTAATGTACGATCGTAAAGATTATGATCGTAATTCGCACAAAAACATACGACTTTTTGGTTACCTGGCAACATTTTTATTATGAAACGAACATGCTCACATCATCAGTCACATGCAACAATTTATTGGGGATTTCCCCTTCACATCTGGCAGTCCTGCTTGCTAGAATATAGGTAAGTCAGCCACAGTTACTGACGATCGATATTTAAAGGGTATTGTTTTTGTGCTAAATATTTCATAAAAACGTTATTTAATACTTTGTGGATTATTAATTTAGTTGATAATCACTGGAAGTAAAATGGATGCTAATTTGAGAGATCAAGATCTTCGTATAAAACAGTTAATAAAAGAAAATCTACGTAAGTACTCTTTTTATACCTAGGTAGGTAAGGTATAATAAACACAAAAGGTACTTAGATCGCGTGTGTTCGAAGCATTTATTCTAATAAATTTAATTTAAAATTGTAGAAAGAAAAAAATGTCTGCCAAGCCGTAGCCGAAGCCGATCTCCAAATATATTTGGTGATAGTGAGACCCAGTGTCCAGATGATTTACCCAGCGTCGTCGCAACAAAGAAAAAAACGAGGATAAAGTAAAAGAAAATTTACTGAAAGAAGAAACAAACTGTTCTAAATGCTTAATTTATGGAGAAGAGGATAAAAGAAATGAGTATTTCGGACTGTTAGTGGCTCAAGAATTTAAATATATACGGCCATGTGTGCGAACGAGGTGTTATGAAGAAATTTTAAAGTATCTACGGGAAGCAAAAGGCCAACATGTTGATCAACTGCAACATGAAAACACTGAAAATTAATTACTTTCATTTTATTATATATAGATTTTTAAAATTTCCTGAAATATTATTAGTTAACGTTTTATTTAATATTGTAGAATTGATCAATACAATTTATAAAAATAATTTATTGGTATTACTTACATATTTTCAAAAAAATACGTAAAAACCTATTTTTTTGGGTGATTATGGGAGTTTATGGGTGTTTATTGGGTTTTTACCAAAGCACCGGGTTTAAACCCGGTGCTTTGCCCATCTGTAACTGTAATAGTATAGATTATAGTTACCTATTCAATAGAGTTAAAACTTTAGAGACCCAGAGAACAGCGTCCTTTTGTGTTCGTTTTACGACCACCCTGTATCCACAGTGGATCAATTGGATAGCAATACGCGCAGACATTCAGTTATACATTGACAAATAATAATTGCAGGCGCCCCCCCCCGGTCCCGCGCGCCACGTCCCCCTCCCCGCCCCCGCCACCTCGCCCCCCGCCCGCTCATTGTAATTTAAATCGAATTCCCGCCGACAAGTAAATTGAAATATTTGAATTTGGACGCACCTTCCGCTCCGCGTTCGACATTCGAATTAGAAATTAAGCGAGTGGCCGCCGAATTATCTCATGTTGGTTGTTAGGCTAGACCTCTCTGCCTGCCTATGTGCCGGTTGGTACCTGCATTTTCAATCGACACAGGTTATTATAATAATACGATATAGAAAATAAAAAAAAAAAATAAAAATTTTATACAACTTAGAATGGCAAACAAGCTGACGGCCCACCTGATGGAAAGTGGTAACCGTCGCTTATAGACATGAGCAGTACCATGCACATAATAGAGTATACTGTTTCGCCCATGATACCCCCCATGCGTTGCCATTCCTGAGGACTCAGTGTTATTCCTCTGTACCCAGTAAATTCACGCCATATCCCACCCTTCTAACCGAAACACAGCCATGCAAACACAACTGCTTCACGGTTGAAACACGAATGGGACAGAGGTACCCAAGCAATCGACTTTTGTACAAAGTCTCCCTAAAATATGTATGCCTAATATATATATATTTTATTCTACCCATAGGTGCGCTTAATTCAAAGAAAAATGTACGAACTATATATAATATTATAAAAATAATGAGCTGCCTAACTATCCATCACCTTTAAATACTTAATACCTATATTAAACTATAAAAACACATTTTCCGAGATATTATATACCTAAAGAAATTTTCCACACTTTATCTAACGGAAAACAGGGGGAAATTTATATAAAATTTTTAGTTCTAAAAAAATCTGTTGAATATCAAATTTGATTTTTAGCGATTAAAAGTATTTCAATATTTATTACTAGTATCTATATTTATCGACAAACAAATGAAGTTTAATTCGATAAAGTCACGAGCACAGCAAGGTTAACTTACTAGTGTGTATGAGAAAAGAATAAAAGAAATTTGTAAATTGATGTTTAGTATAAAAAAACCTTAGACGAGGACTCTTTGAGAGTTTTTTTTTTAATGGGTGATAATGGTATGGTAACCCCGCCTGCGCTATCGGTATACACCGGCGGGGCACCAGTGATAGATGACTGATGAGGATGAAAGCAGGTCAGTTGGCCCGTCCTGACGAATTCAATTAGAATTAGCCACGATGGTTTCCAGGGGGAACCACGCGGAGGTCGACCTGACAGGGTATATTGCTAGTAATAGGTCTATTTTACTCCATTACTAACAATCCCTTTCCCCCCTCTTTGAGAGTTGAGTATCATGTTTTATATCTTACAATGTGAAGACCATAGAGACAGGGCCGTATTTAAGGTATAAAGTAGTTTAAGGTAGGGCAAAAGAATTGTTTTGATAGGGCAGAAGCCATCATTAAGCGATTCCAAAAAAGCAAATCTGTCTAATTTTCTTGGGGCATTTCATTTTAAGGGCATTGGGTGTTTCAAAGTATGGCATTGCCTCTCAATGCTACAGTCATGTATAGGTAGTAAAGCTTCATCAAGAAAGACACGTCAACAACGTAAGAAATATCAAGTGGTGTCACAATAAATTAGAGAGGCGGCTTCATACGATCACAATGTATTTACAATCGGATATTTCGATCTCATTATCAAACAATGCCCTCGAAACTCCATATTGACCTCAGCCGCCAGTGAGTACTGTAGCGTACCGTGGCACCGTCGCACCGGCGGAACAATCGAACAAAACCTCAACAATAAACATTAAAAAAGATTGGAATCCTCGACGCGAATAACAAACATAATTGTGTTTTTTGTGCTTCACTCAATAGAGCTTTGTCCGGTAACAAAAACTGGCTCTCAAAAAAGTCACCTTTATAAATTAAGTTTCAGCATTCACGAACACCAATCCGGCGCGGAGGGCGGGAACAGCTCGCGCCGCCATTGGCCCTTACAGGCCTCTCATCTGACTACATTTTATATAACCGGATGATACAACATATACAGTTAACACTATAGAGGGAGTGGGACGCAGCTAGCGCATGTATACAGTGTGTCGTTTCGCACTCGCGCCCTCTCTGTCCCGCGGCCCGTCCCCGGCAACTGTCAGTTTGTCCGCGTGCCGAAAATGAAGCAACAGTGTTGGTAACAACTCGCCGCGGAGCGTCGCCTCTACTGTAGCGCGTTCTATTTTTGAATTGACGTTTGACAGTTGCAGTGTTGCCAGTTGGCTTGAAAATGTTTGGTAGTTTTAGGGTGTGAAAGAAAGCTTTATACGAACGGTTTACCTTTGATTTGTTTGTTATATTATGGAAATGTCGCTTCCGAACGGTGTCGATGTGTCACAGCTGGTGCAGCATCCCGTGTTGGCCGCGTTACCGCCCTTCTTCCTCAGAGCTTCGGAGAGATACCAGGTAAACATACTTATGGATGAATATTCTATACGTATTAGATAGGTAGGCTTATTTAATATCCTCATTTACTAATCTAACAGCATAGGACTGGCATAATAGTTTGCTGTTTAAAAATGGCAATGCTTGATGGGTATTGTGGACGTCATAGTATATTCGGTGGTGTCAATGGTTACTGTCTCTGTTTAGGCCACGGTTACCACTTGCCATCAGGTGGACAGGCAGCTTGCTTGTATTAAAATTCAATCCACAGATAGAGGTGTTCAACTCAGGGATATACAGTGATTTGCTACATATCTAGATATCTACCTACTAATAACTTTATAAATATTGATACATAGATAGATAATTTATTTGCATTACTTACAGCACACAAATAACAATACAAACATACACAGTAAAAAGTGATAAAAGAATGAAAAACAAATAAAGCAACCTTAAAAAAAAGCGAAATATATAAAATAACAATTTCCTTCTGTCATTCGTGTACCACAGTAATATAAAATGGTCACAACTCAGCTTTTTGCTTTGCCCTCAAAAGAGCAAAATACTGATATTCTGTTGTGGCCAAGAGTTAGTCTCGCTGGAAGGTAGGTAATGATATTTGCAACATGAAATCACTCTAAAACATTCAATTTATATATTAAACTAGCTGACTCGGCAAACGTTGTTTTACCATATACATTATTTCTAGAACTATACATGAAAATTTATCCTACTACAATTATTATATTCGATTTTCATCTTACAACCCTATTGCGGCATATAAAAATCGCGATTAAAAAACAGGGATTGATCGTAAAAGCGTGAAAATTTGAATTTGTTTGTATTTTTCAATGCTAAATCATATTAAAACAAAAATAAAAAAAAAAATGGTCAAAAATATTTGGCGTGGGTAACCCTTATCATTGAGGGGTATGAAAAATAGATGTTGGCCGATTCTCAGACCTACCCGATATGCACACAAAATTTCATAAAAATCGGTAAAGCCGTTTCGAAGGAGTTTGGTGACAAACACCGCGACACGAGAATTTTATATATTAGCTTTAAATTCCATGGCAATAAAAAGGATGTTCTATTTTTTTTTTTATTAAATTTAGTGATGAAGTATCTAATTACGTCTGGTGTCGGCAAATGAAGTACAAAATGATTTATGTATTTAATTAAATTATTGAAAAAAGAAATCGATATTTGTGCGAGGATTTTGTATTGCACATTTTGTTACAATAAAGTACCTATTTAAAAAAATATCTATTAAACGAGATATATATTAAAATATAAATAATTTAATTATTATTAATATATATTAAAATATATATTAAACGCAATAGGCAATACTTTTTTTATGCAACGTCGAATGACAAACAAGCTGATGGGAAGTGATAACCGTCGCCTATAGACATGAGCGGTACCATGAACATAACAGAGTATACTGTTTCGCCCACGACTCTATCCAATGATTTGTCGCAACGTTTTCTATCAATTTACTCTCTTTTCATTTAACAGTTTCCTCTTGTCGGTGCAACTAATTCATGCATCTTCTTCCAGCCAGCTCTATCCCAGGCCATATCCTTGACCTCCCTATACGACATGACGCCTAGTGTTTCTTTTATCTGTCCCATGTAGTTATTCCTCGGTTATTATTTATTCCGTTATTTGCTATTTTAAAGATATTTATTTTATTAATTTATTTAATTATTTAAGAAATTGGCTGTAACATATTGAGAGATTGACACAATTGATCCTAGAAGGGTTCCTTTTTCTTTTTTTAAAAAGTGTTTGAATGAATAAGTGTACTTTATTTGCATTATACAATATAGGTAATAAACAAGACAATTAATAAATATAACGATACAGTTGTATGAGTACAGTAAAAAGTGTAGATACTTGAGACTTCGTTTTGCGTGACATATCTCATCAAAGTTTGTATTAGAACATGAAATTTTAAATATTTAATTTGATATTAATTATGAATATAGGTAACTGTAGGGGAAAGGGATTGTTAGTAATGAGGTGTAATAGCCGCATTGCTAGCAATATACCCTATCAGATCGGCCTCCACGCGGTTCCCCCTGGAAACCATCATGATTAATTCTTGGCGAATTCAACATGTTGGGCCAACTGACCTGCATTCATTCTCACCTATCATCTTCCGCTGGTGCTCCGCCAGCGTATACCGTTAGCGCAGGCGGAGTTACCATTCCATTATCATCCATAAAAAAAAAATAGGTAACTACAACTAAGACTTTTTTTTATGCAACTTAGAATGGCATACAAGCTGACGGCCCACCTGGTGGAAAGTGGCAACCGTCGCCTATAGACATGAACATTCTTGATTCCTAGATATAAAATATAAAGTATGTAAAACGCCGACGGCCGCGACGACTGCATTAGCGGTGCGTAAATTTGAATTCGTAAAAATACTTGTAAACTCTTAGAAATACGTAGGATAATGGAATGTTTTGTACAATTATGTATCTTTTTTCGTGAACGTCTACCTATTAGCGACGGTTACCACTTTCCATCCGGTGGGCCGTCAGCTTGTTAGCCATTTTAAGTTGCATAAAAAATACAAACGTGTGTGAAAAATTATTGAAATTTTTTGACAATATAAATTGAAAATATAAGACAGATAACAAAAAAGGGCCGCTTGTGCTGTACTAAATGTATGTAAAACATACTACTTCGTTTGAACTTTTATATATTTAAAGATTTTATCTCAGAAAAAAAATCGATTTTAATTGTGAAGTAATTGCGAAACCGTGTGAAGATCGACCTGATAGGGTATATTGCCAACAAAGGGCCTGGTAGTCCACTGATAATCCCTTCTCCCCGGTACACGTAGGCTTCGAACATAGGACACTGGGGGAAGGGATTGCTAGTAATGGGGAGGTTAGTCCCCATTGCTATCAATATACCGTATCAGGTCGACCTCCACGCGGTTCCCCCTGGAAACTATCGTGACTAATTTATCTTTGAATTAGCCACGATGCGCTAACTGACCTGCCTTTTCATCCTCACCTATCACCTCTCACTAGTGCCCCGCCAGTGTATACCGATAGCGTAGGCGGGGTTACCGTGCCATTTTCATCCATTAAAAAAAACATAGGACATTGATTATCGCGAGTAAAGTCACTGGAAGCAACTAGTATCTATTATATTCGTGAAAGGTAATTGTTAATATTAGCACTTCCCTATTCGCGTTCACACCATACATATTGCATTACAACACCCATTCAAAGTGTTACAAATAACACGGCAATTACGTAACGCGACTCTGCAATGTTACATTGTGCGATCGCGTGTTACAATCGGCCACTGTCGCTGTAACGCGATAGCTTCGTTTCTAATGATACGGTAGGCGTTTTATTAAATTATAATGGGGTATTTTATTGTGACTGGGAAATAGTAGCAGATATTTGTGTATGCGTAGAGGAGCGGTTACATTTTCATAAAAAAAAAAAAAAAAACTATGTAACAATGTATTGTTTATTAATTGTTAAAACCATACGTAGACTCGTCCTTGAATGGTAAGGGCTTTGATTCATTTTTAACTTGGCGTTGCATTAGACGATTTACGTTTTTTTTTTATATCAGGTGGTCTACCATGAAATGAAATTCCGAATTTTCGCGCTCAATTTCGTGGTTTTGTTCGTACCGAAATCGACCCTGTAAATGGAGCTTAACTTTTCGTTCATCATAAATCCTATCATAAAAGTTCAATGGAACGATATTTTAATATTTTTAAACGGTACGTATCATGTAATTTTAGCATCAAATTTTTGTTTCGTTCGGGTCCGAAATTTCGGAAAACATTTTGTGGTAGGCTCTCAGGAAGGCGGCAAACAAGTAGGTATACAGCCCGTCTGATGGTAAATGGTCACTTTAGTCTATGGACAAATGTTTGTAAATAAGTTTGTTTGAATTAAGGTGATTTGAATCATTTATTGTGATCAGGATTGATAGATTTTTAAACGATTTAAAAAAAAAGTTTACCAATTTGATTGTATTTTTTTTTGTTTCTGACCTCATAACTCCGTCAGTTGTAAGCAGATTTGAAAAAAATTCTTACAGATTGGTGCGATAGAAATTTTATTAAAATTCGTTCATTTTTCTTTTTCAAATCATTCATAACCTTCAAGAAAAGAGTATATTCCTTTTTAAAAGGCCGGCAGCACACCTGCAATGCCGCTGGTGTTGTAAGTGATCATGGGCGGCGGTAGTCACTTAACATTAGGTGAGCCACATGCTCGTTTGCCCTCTGTGTTGTAAAAAAAAAAAATCCGTTTTAAAAATCAATATAACTGGTTTTGCCACAATTAAAGTCGATTTCTTTTGTTTCCTTTTTTTTGGTATTGCATTAAACATGTATTTAATTTACCATATTAAAGTCATGCTGCTTAAATGCTATTTTTTATTATACCTACTAAATTTTTTTAACAAATCTACATCATTTTACTTACTCTTATCCATTCACAAATTTGTGTTTGATTTTTACCACGTTTTGCCAAAGCACAGATAATATAGACACCTAATAAGCAACCTAACAAGACACCTAATAAAGTGGTATTTCGCGGCTCACTTTTGGCCACAACTGAATATCAGTGTTTTGCTCTTTTTAGGGCAAAGCAAAAAGCTGAGTTGTGGCCATTTTGTATTATTGTGGCACACGCGTGAAGAAAAAAAAAATTGTTACTAATTTTATGCATTCTGATTTTGTTTTTGATTTTTTTTTTTTTATTTTTGTACATGTATCATTTATTTATCTTTTTTCACTTTGTATTTGTGTGTATTGTTGTTGTGTCTTGTACTGTTTGTGTGCTGTAAGTAATGCATATAAATTATCTATCTATCTATCTATCTAATGCTATATTAGTAGCCAAAGTGAATAACGAAAAAAGAGCCCTTCGTTTAAATTCTCATCCGGATTTAATTGTTTTTGTAACAATTGGTAAAATCCATGTTGGTTTCACGATTAATGCAACGGTTTTATTATTAAGTAAAGTAAACTTTAATATGAATTTAGAATGAGGAATTTTATGAATCAGCGTTTTAAAGTAGGTAATACAATACATCTCATCCTTCACGTGTATTTTGTTCGTTTCAAATGTTGTAAATACTTGCTGCGCCGCGTGGACGTCGACCTGATTGGGGTATATTGCTAGCAATAGGGATGTTAGACCCCATAACTAACAATCCTTTTCTCCTAGCATTCCAGCTTATTGACAGAGAGTAGAAATAACGAAGTGAAATAGAAGTACCGAATCAGATGGCTTTTCCATAAAGTCTCACTCTAGTTTTTGCATTTTGAGCCAGAGACTGTCTTGCACCAAAAACTCCGAGTACTAATTAGTTTCAAGTATTGTACTAGTGTGTGCTGGATCTAGTCTTATAATTTATTAATTAATCATATATGGGTCACCGCGACCATCGCCCCCATCAAGCAGATAATGGTACTACAACATTAACCAGTCGACCTTTGTCCCTCACCAGAGGACGCCCAAATGCGCCCGATGCCGCAATCACGGCGTCGTTTCGGCCCTTAAAGGACACAAGCGCTACTGCCGCTGGCGGGACTGTGCTTGCGCCAAATGCACCCTTATCGCTGAACGACAACGCGTGATGGCCGCTCAAGTATGTTATAAGGTATAAATACTTTCTAAATAAAGCCTTAACACGAAGCAGCGAAGTGCCTTCCCGCCGCTGGAGGACAGCGCATTATTGCTGCACGGGTATGTTAAAACTTTTAATATAAATTAAGGAAGTCTCGTCGCTGAGTAACAGCGCGTTACGTTATCTGCGCAGCACAGGTATGTGATATAAAGACTTTCTATGATCATGGGCGGCGGTAGTCACTTACCATCAGGTGAGCCGCATGCTCGTTTGCCCCCCTGTGTTGTAAAAAATATTTTGTCTGATTTTTGTTTTGCTTTGTATAAATACAATTAGTTGTTAATAAAGCTTTTTTTTCTTTCTTAATAAATAAATTCTTAACACAAACCAGAGTAGGTAGTAGTGATCTCAGTCCAGAGCACGAGCCGAGCTTGTAGCGTGCTATATCTCTACAGGTATGTACTCTCCAAATAAACACTTCATTCGAAGCAATTTACTTTTTTTTTCTGCAACTTAGAATAGCAAACAACCTGATGGAAAGTGGTAACCGTCGCCTATAGACATAAGCAGTACCACGCACATAACAGAGTATACTGTTTCACCCATGATACCCCCCATGCGTTGCCATTCCTCAGTGGACTCAGGTGTTATTCCTCTGTACCCTGAAAATTTACTGCCATATCCCATCCTTCAAAGCGAAACACAGCCATGCAAACACAACTGCTTCACGGTTGAAACACGAATGAGACAGAGGTACCCAAGCAATCGACTTTTGTACAAAGTCTCTCTCTGGTAAACGTTGTACAAAAGTTTACTGATTGTGATAAAAAGTAGCTTTTATCTCTCTCTATCCCATATAGTAAGTGTATACCGAATTTCACAGTCATTGGTTAAGGTTCTATAAGGCAACAAACAAACTCACGTTCACATTTATAATATTAGTAAGGCCAGCATTAGTTACACGTTACGTTTTTAAGTTTTAATATTTATCAAACACAAGGCACGCTGTGGTCGCCTATAAATGTAAGAACAGTTAGATCTAATCTACCAGTGTATTGTATTGAAATGTTTCATTGCATCTTATGTTGGTGATCCTATAAATAAATAAATAAGTATTAGTCTGTCCTTACATATAATTTTTCATACAACTTAGAATGTCAGACAAAGCTGACACCCACCTAATGGAATGTGGTAACCTGTCTAATTTCACGCCAAGACCCTCACGGGGTAAGCATAGAGAACCGACTGTCAAATGTCTCTATTATTCATAAGTCTTTTCATGCATACACGCTGGTTTAGATGACTCTTGACTCTTGACAGGAGTCAAGGATCTTCAGAAAGATATACACACGTGGTTGATTCCTGATAAATTTTAGTGATTCTTCCTTCTTCTGCTTTTATTAGCACTCCGCTAGCCTCTGCTAATAGTGCATGCGGAGTCACCATACCACTTTCATCATATTTAAAGATGTGACAAATCTGATGGTCTACTTTTGTTCGCAGGTGGCGCTCCGTCGGCAACAGGCACAGGAGGAGAACGAGGCACGGGAACTGAACCTGTTATACGCCGGACAGGCGTCAGCCCCGCATCACTACACCGACATACCCGACGAAACACCGGGTGAGTGTACATTCTTCACTACTAGTACTTAATGAGTGGCGTCCTCTAGTGCCAAGAGTTTCAAAGCCACTTTCGTTAAACATGAAGACCTAGTATTTTATTTATATAGTTGTGTTGTGTTATGCGGCGCACGTTAGAAAAGCTCCCAAATATTTTTAAAAATAATTATCAAATTTCAGCCAGTGTGCCTACAAAATACTTTAATTAATTTGAAACCTGAACCTTGGAGGGGAAGGGATTGTTAGTAATGGGGTCTAACTGTCTCATTGCTAACAATACACCCTATCAGGTCGACTTCCACTCGGTTGCCCCTGGAAACCATCGTGGTTAATTTTAGTGCAATTCGTCACGATGGGCTATCTGACCTGCTTTCACCTGCGACCCGTAAGAGACGGGTACCCTGCCAGCGTATACTGATAACGCAGACGGGGTTACCATTCCGTTATCACTGAATAAATTGTCTTTCTTTTTTTCTCCTGAATCACTCTGGCTGGCTGGCTCGAATGGCTGGAAAATAGCCATGTAATATTTAAAAAAAAAAAAGAAAAAGAATTGTTTGATTTTTTTAAAACATTCTTCCATCTCTTAATGTAATATTTAATAACTATAAATTTAGTATGTAAATAGATACAAAAACACTAGTGGAACTATAAAAGTGGTATCATTTTGGAGTACAAAGTCTATACAGTGGTAAAAACTGTATGAAAATCCATCACCTAGTTTTTGAGACTATCGTGCAAACAAACAGACACGACGAGGAAATTTGTTTTATAATATATAATATGACAACAATGGTGAGACAGGGGTGATAAAATTGTCAATTCATAGCAGGCTAGTGTATAGAAAATGTTACACGGCCGTATAACACAACCAAATTCAGATACAACCTGCTTGCATACTTTCAACATCAACTGTGTCGAATATATAATCTAGTAATGTAAAATTTGTTATTGACAAATAATTGACATATCAAACATTTTCTATATACTAGCCTGCTATGAATTGAGAAAAATAGCAACTGATGGTGTATATTCCGTCCTCTTTTTACTAATTATATTTGAATTTAAGAAGAAAGGAGGCAACCATATGATTTACAGTTTTTATTTTGTCATTACTTCTATGTAATTTCTTGTTCTTAGATCATGTCACATTTAAATTGTGACAAAAAACAATAGTGATCGTAATTTTTATTGAATGCGTGTATTTGTTAATACTATATCAAAGTGCGTAATTATTCATTCGGCCTACGAGGAGGCCCGACGAGACATGCAAGAATACCAAAGTGATAATTCAATCTCGCTTGATTTCCGCCACTTCCTCTCGTAAACGAGGGCGTTTCCGTTCAAGTCACACGTAATTGCAAGTTCGCGCCGTAATCTGAGGAGGCTGACAGTGAACATTTTCTATATTAAGCCCCACTTAACAGGGAAATGACGATAAACTTACTGAAGACTTGATAAATTTAAATATAAACCATATATTTTGAAGCGACTTCTAAAATATTTATTATAAATATTAGTTCTCATTTCGGGTGTATTTCTTTTTAATGTTTCGTTACCTCATAACTTCGTCAGTTTTGAACCGGTTTGGAAAATTATTTTTTCGAAATAAACAATACCAGAGGTGTAGCAGTTAATTCGCTGCAGCACATGCTGAGTGGCGGCCATGTTGGCAATAACAAATGTAAAGTTTTTTTCTTTCTATTGAATAATTAATGTAACTCTTTTTGTTATTGGCAATAAATGTTTTCTCTCTTTCTTGCTTCTTCTACTTCTTTCTTTTTTTATCAGAAAGGGTATTTTTACAGATAAATTTAATAGAAATGTGAACAAAAACGATTCAGTAGTTTAGTTTTTAAATCAAATTCACTGACATTGTAACAATTGTTTTTTTTTAATGTTAATCATTATAAAATTGAGTACTGTTATAACGTACAAGAGAACAAAAGGTACAAATGTTCACATAAAAAAAAAAAAAAAACAGTTTATTACAGGAAAATAATACGACGATGTTGATAGTAGTAATGAAATAAATATATTTTATTTCAACTAGCTTTTAGCCCGTTATTGCGCACGCGTGGTATTAGAAAACCAATAAAACAGTTTACTTCTAGATAAAGCTGATTTTTACCACCGTACAACCCGCCATAAACCGCCGCCGCCAGAGGGAGACTTTGTACAAAAGTCAACTTCTTGGGTACCTCTGTCCCATTCATGTTTCTACCGGGAAGCAGTTGTGTTTGCATGGTTGTGTTTCGGTTTGAAGGGTGGGATATGGCATGAATTTACTGAGTACAGAGGCATAACGTCTAAGTCCTCAGGAATGGCAAGGCATGGGGAGTATCATGAGCGAAACAGTATACTCTGTTATGTCCACGGTACTGCTTATGTCTATAGGCGACGGTTACCACTTTCCATCATGTGGGTCGTTAGTTTGTGTGCTATTCTAAATTGTATAAAAAAAGATATATCTTTGCACATGTCTGAAAGTTTTGATCTGGAGGTGGTTCAGGGCTTTTTGCATCGGTGATAATGGAATGGTAACCCCACCTGCGCTATCGGTATACGTTGGCGAGGCGCCAGTGAGGGATGATAGGTGACGATGAAAGCAGGTCAGTTAGCCTATTGTGACAAATTCCACTAAGAATTAACCACTATGGTTTCCAGGGGGAACCACGTGGAGTTCGACCTGATAGGGTGTACTGCTGGCAATGGGTCAGTTAAAACCCTTTAATATCTCTCCCCCCCCCCCCCATGATTCACTGCTGAGCATTGCCCACAAATTGAGGACTTGTTAATTTTGTAAACGCATAAAAATTATTCAAATCTTTCACTAATCAGCAGTGAGGCCAACACAGCGACATTACCCCCTCGCAAGTTAACACACAGACTGAATTTCAAAACGTTTCACTCCAAAATAAAAGTATAAAAGTGCGGTGCCGCACAAAAGAACATTTAGCGGGGCGTGCCAATTAACTGGCGACAAAAGTGTCGAGTGTCGCCACTCGGTGTCGCGACACCGAGTGTCGCGGTGTCGCAGTGTCGCCAGGGGAAACAGACGCTGGAAAAAAGAAACGTACGTCCGCCCGCTTTGTTCTGCCGTTGGCTGCGAATTGAAAATGTTGCATTCGTAATAGCTGCACACTGTCGCGTAAATTTTAACATAGGTTAGAGTAATAATTTCCAAGTAACAGTGGCAAGAATATGAATGAAATAAGTAGATTTCGCTTTATACAATAACAACAGAATTAATATTGATCAGGTACACATATTATCCCGTGGGTGTCGTAATATCAGACTTTGTACAAAAGTCGATTGCTTGGGTACCTCTGTCCCATTCGTGTTTCAACCGTAAAGCAGTTGTGTTTGCATGGCTGTGCTTCGGTTTGAAGGGTGGGATATGGCGTGAATTTACTGAGTACGGAGTAATAACATCTGAGTCCTCGGGAATGGCAACGCATGGGGGTATCATGGGCGAAACAGTATACTGTGTTATGTCCATGGTACTGCTCATGTTTATAGGCGACGGTTACCATTTTCCATCAGGTGGGCCGTCAGCTTGTTTGCCATTCAAAGGTGTATAAAAAAAAAACTAATTATCTTTAAGAAAGGTGAAAGATTGGACAGCAGCGTTCCTCTTTAAACTCATCAAATCCTAACTGCGGTTGACAATCCGCCTGCCAAGCGTGGCAACTACTGGCTATGGACGCCTGCAATACTAGGGCTGTCATATGCGCATTGTCGACCCTGAAGAAACCTACCAGAGGAAGACTTTGTACAAGTCATTTGGCTTAGGCAGATCTGCCCCATTCGTGTTTCTAACGTGAAGCAGTTGTGTTTGCATGGTTGTGTTTCGGTTTTAAGGATGGGATATGGCGTGAATTTACAGGATATAGAGGAATAACACCTGACTCCTCCGGAATGGCAACGCTTAGGAGGTATCATGGGCGAAACAGTACACTCTGTTATGTCCATGGTACTGCTCACGTATATAGGCAACGGTTACCACATTCTATCAAGCGGACCGTCAAATAGTTTGCCATTATAAGTTAAATAAAAAAAAAATACTTAATATACCCTTTTTGAGGAACCTCATACTCTCTTTTTTCTCTCTCTACATCTCTAGGAAAAACTTCGGCAGTGAGCTCATTCCACAGCCTGAGAACATTTCTTTGAAACCGCACTGTACGTGACCAAATGATTGTAGCGTTTCGTATAAATACTTCCTTTTTTATTTGCGTCGAAACATTTTATTTTGCGTAGTATATAACTTGCAGCGTAGCTAAGTGTGTGCGGTGCAGCGGTTTGTGCAACACCCACATTGGTTAATTGCTCTCGCTTGCGTGTTGCACAAATGTTCATAATTCACTTTGCGTCATTAATTTGAACAGCCTCAAGCAACTCTGAATGCTACTAAATTATAAAAATGTTGTGAATTGCATTTTCTTTGAGGTGGCGGCCGGTTGGCGTGTTCGTTTCAATGCCAGTTTGTTAGAGTTCCCGGCAGGATTTAAATGTTTCCATTGATATTTTTCATAACTTCGTCCAATGTTTGTTTAATTAATATGAGTATTTCTTTAAATTTAACTAGTGAAAGAGTATGTTATGTTAATGTTAACATTTCGTTGACTAGTTGTAATAATATAAGTAGAATTTTAGTCAATTATTTATATAAGATTAATTTATATAACATTTATTGATTTTCGCAAATTTTGAATAAATGCAGAGAGTCAATAGATGCAAGTGGTTCAGGACTGTTCCTTATTGCAGTCTATGGTGGAGGCCTATGTTGAAAGTTGGTAGATAAAAGCTGCTAGACATAGATCTTCCCCATAAAGAAAGTTTTGCCAGTTGTTGCCACGCTTGATATTATGGATGGCAACCGCAGTTAGGTCTTGACCATGTTTTAAAAGGGACGCTGCCGTCTATTCCTCAACCATTAAGTTCCCTTAGTCGCTTCTTACAACGCCTACGGGAAAGGAAGGAATAGCCTATTCTATG